CCACATAAACATATCCCATTGCTAACCTGAAACAAACCTTGGCTAACTGCCAACTTACCACATAAACATATCCCATTGCTAACCCCAAACAAACCTTGGCTAACTGCCAACTAACCACATAAACATATCCCATTGCTAACCTGAAACAAACCTTGGCTAACTGCCAACTTACCACATAAACATGTATTTCGTTACTGACCCAAACATAGTTGGGTAACTACTAACTTTCTGTATACATGCATTTGGCTACTACGACCAAACTATTGTTGGATAATTATTAACTTATCATCGACCTATACGTTGCTAATCTTGAATTATTGTTGACTAATTGATAACCTACCGTATGTACGTATCTCGTTGTTAATTCTAGATTACTGTTGGCTAATTGCTAGATTAGTTATATATATCGTTATCATACCGATCCTGTTCAAAATTTGTATATTTTCGAGTTCTAATACGCAGAATCCCACGGCAATTGGACTTTGACCGAAACAAGTATTAGTTAACTGCTAAGATATCATGGATATGTATTTTTGTAATGAGTTGCTTCATTTCTGAACTATTTTAGGTTAGTTTTTAACTTATCATATACGTGCGAGTTATTTCTGAGCCAATCTAAGTAATAAATATTATTATCTGGCTTCATACTCACCGTGAAATATATATTATTATTATTTGGCTTCAAACTTACCGTGAAATAGATATTATTATCTGGCCCCAAACTCACCGTGAAATAGATATTGTTATTATTTGGCTTCAAACTCACCGTGAAATAGATATTATTTGGCTTCAAACTTACCTTGAAATAGATATTATTATTTGGCTTCAAACTCATCGTGAAATAGATATTATTATATGGCTTTAAACTCACCTTGAAATAGATATTATTATATGGCTTCAAACTCACCTTGAAATAAATATTATTATTATTTGGCTTCAAACTCATCGTGCAATAGGTATTATTATTTGGCTTCAAACTTACCGTATACATGTAATTCCGTACTGATTCGGTCCTGACCTAAACTATTGTTGGCTATGCAAATATACGTTCCACTGTCATCATCTTTCGGCTGATGTATTACCAAAGAGCCATCTAATTGGGTAATACGCTGACCAGTTGACACAGGGTACGCTCCATCCGTTTCTTCTTTTAACCAGTAATATATAGGAACCGGGTAACCCTGGGCAACACATGGCAATGCTACAAGCTCTCCTTCTCTCGCAATTAGGTGAGATTTGGAATCTGTTATCTGGGGCGGTGCTTTGTTGTGTGGCTCTTTAAAAGACAAATATAAAGAAATTAATCATATTAAAATCTTGATTGAAAGAACTTATGTCACCAAATAAGATCGGGTTTAGATATCTATTGTTATAACGTGAATGATTTTGTAACAATAGCTTTCGAAGTTACTAGGCTTAACATATCCAGTTTCACACCGTATGTGTTAGTTGGGAGTATTTTAACTGACAAGTTGTCATTTAAACACATGATGATCGGTCGGACTGAAAAGATAATGTAACGATTTGTAGTGCCACACTTATTAGATTTTACTTATACGATATATTTTTCAGGTAATATATATCAGAATGTGAATATATATATATGCGTAAAGCTTTCTATATGCATTTCATTTTAGGTAATTACTATTCATAGTAATCTTTATTCAATTATTTTTAGCCCTAAATGTGGTTACACAGAAATTGTCATGTTTTAGGGGCAACTTTGAACAAAAGAAATCCACTAGACCAATTTCTTATATAACAAGTTCCGTTTCTTTATCTTGCTTCGAAAAGCGCAATGTATCTCCCAAAATGTTGTTTTAGTGTTAAAGTATTTGTATAGAAAGGCTACTTTTTTTTTATCAGGAGCATTCTCTTATGACCTCTTGATTTGCAATGTAAGAATGGTTTCCAACATCATCATGATATCCAGGACACACTGCGCACTTAGTAGAAACAACAATAGATCACAGAACGATCTAAGATAATGAAATTGGTTACGATGAGAAGAATAAATTATCCTATTCTTAGTATTCCACCTGTTTCGTAGTTTTTTTTTACCTTTTTAAGATTAGATTCTAAAGCTTTAAAGCGACCTCTCTTTCTGATCTTTTTGACATGTATCGGAATTACATTTTGAATTTGTTTGACGTTTCGTATGTGCGTAGTGTGAAGCCACCGACAACTGAACACAAAATATTCATAGACTCAGATAATAAAGATATGTTCAAATTCTAAGACGAGAATATCCCTTGTATTCAATGGCATTGGAAAATAAAGTCACGTGGACTAATATGGGGAACCATGATCATCCAAAAATAGATACGCAACACGTTGTAACACAACTGTGGTAAGTAAAGTGTGGGATTTTGTAACAGGTGAGAAACCATGAATACAAAAATAGATATGTAACACTTTGTAACACAACTATGGTAAGTAAAGTGCGGGATTTTGTAACAGGTGAGAAACCATGAATACAAAAATAGATATGTAACACTTTGTAACACAACTATGGTAAGTAAAGTGTGGGATTTTGTAACAGGTGAGAATCCATGAATACAAAAATCAGTGACCCAAGCCGTTCATGTGCCCCAGGTAACAGTACGCAACATATCCAAAAAGGAACTCTGTGTAAAAGCGACACAAGTCACGCGTATAAAAGTTAGTTCTATGACATACCAGTTTAACCGTCGCATACCTCAAGCAGCAAGGAAATAAAACAAGTGTTCGTACTATTCCATACCGATCAATTCGCTGGATTTCTGTGCGATCAGACTATTGAACGGGCGCTGGGAAACCGTCGTCCTCGTATATTAGATCGATTATGGAAAGCCTCAGGGAGAAAGGATGTGCGTTGGACATGACAACCTTACGACGGAGCCTTTTTCAATTGAAAATACGCTACAAGGTCTATGAGATAAAGTTCCTAAATCGCATTAATATAACGTGCTCAACCTCTGTCTTCTACATACGCAATGAACTAATTGTTAAATTAAGATTTCTCTGCACGAAGTTAACCGATGAGCATGAAATATATACATTATTCAAAAGCTCTAATCTCAAATTATTGTTACCAGGAAATTTTAGTGCTTTTGGTCATTTCTAGATATCTTAATGACCGGTCAGACAAGAGTAGCCCAAAAGTTGGTGGTGGTTGCTGTTGACTAGCTCAAAATTAGGGACGGTTAGCTCAGATAACTCTAAAACAGATACACGCGAATATTCGGAATCAAACAAATTAACCTGACTCGCAGGTATTTGAGGCGAACAACGTTTCGGTTCCTGAGCCGAGTCTTGACGTTTTCTAGAAACAATATAACAACCAAAGATTGTTTTTGTCATTTTATAAACCTGATTGCTAACTATTATTTTGGTTTTCTATCTTATGCAAAATTTTATTTGTAAAATTTCAATTAAAATAATTTTCTATTATTTGTTGTTGTTTGTAATTAAGTACAAAGCTACACAATGGGATATCTGTGCTCTGCCCACCACGGGTATCGAAACACGGATTCTAGCGTTGTAAGTCTGCAGACATACCGCTGTGCCACTTTGGGGCTTTTCTATTACTGACTCAGTTTCTTGCTATATCCTTTTTGTGAGTTTAGGTTTAGCTAAAAAGAATGAGAAGTATGGAATTTAAATTCATATTGTACAAACAACTTCACATTTCTTTGGAAGTTTTATGATATTGACTGATTACTGCTATATTAAGCATAATATTCTCACACTGAATATTTAATTTGTATTAATCGTTTTTTTGCAGTATCTCGTTACAAGCAAAAGTATCCGTCCCCAGAGAGTAAAAATTTTAAATTAATCTATCTATTGAAATTATTTCATGGACTTTAAAAAAGTTAATTGTGTTGCACTCTTGGTTTCACTCAGTCAAAGTTCTGAGCTACTTATACCGTCCACCGTGAAAAGTAATTGTTAAGCATTTCAGTCATGCTAAGAACAATAACATACGGTAAATCTACATTTTTATTCTTTAAGTTACGTCACATTTCGAAATGTGTATGATAGTGTGATCAATTCCTAACAGTTTAGTGTAGAATATCCTGCTTTCGAAATAAAATTTGGCATCAACATTATTCATGCCTGTTCTCCCGTCATTTCAAAAGTGAATGTTTAGCTTTACCTGCGTGAGCAGCTTTTCAAATGGGAGACAGACGAACACTCCGATAGACACCAAGGTTCACAATATATATATAAGATATACAAGCGTTTAAGTTCCAAAAACATTCAGAACAACATAAAGTATTCTCTAAACTTAAGTACAAAAATTCTGGGTTAGTACGGAAAATTAAATATGATTTAATTTACTGAAACACATATTTTGAACGACAACAAAAAAGCGGATTTTTTTTTAACTTCACCATAATGTATTTTTTTCACTAAGGCTATGAAGGAAAATAATCACAACTGATGACCAAAAATTCGTCGATTTTTATGCACTAACTCACCTTAGATTCAAGTCAATGAAGATAGTGTCCTCCGGTGGCTCAACGGCAAGTCTGAAGGTTTTGTAAAGCTAAAAAAATCGAGTTTCAAACCCGCGATGGGAAGAACCTACAGAGCCTATTGTGTAGCTCTGTGCTTAACAACAAAGAAAAAAAATATCTGAAGATACTTAAAGCTGACTCTCCTAGCAGTAAATGTAAAGCAACGCTTCATAACATCATAAGTAACTTTGTGTGTGTTTGAATGTTGGAAAGAGGTTTTGAATATTGCAGAGATCGTTGCGCATTGAATACTTTATTTAATAACCACTTTACCGAATGATGTTTAAGTATCACTGATTTTAAACAGTCGAACTTATCAGAACTATAGTTGGTTACGGAACTCAACACAAACGAACAATTATATGTATAGAATTAATGCATTTCCTCTGAAACTCACTAACTCAGTTCAACTATCTCACAAGCGATGCTTTATAGCTATCTGAAACGAAGTTCGTCTCATAAGAACCAAATCATGCCAAACAACGACGGAAAGGAATTATTAGCATTCCTATATCTTGCACATGTCTGTCTTTCACACCGAAAATCAGGAAAGAGTACACATAAGGAACAATGAAGAAAAAAAAACGAGCAAAGCATCTTTATTCTGCTCTTGATTTTCTTTCCTTTTGAATAGTTCATAGGGGAGAAAGGTAGAGGACCCAGGATAAAAAGAAATAGAACTGAGCTGCAGTTCAATGAAGTAGTAAAATCTCTTGAATTTAATGACGCTATTGTATGGAATAGATAATAGTGTAGACAAAAACTAATCATGTGCTACAATGTGGGTTTTATATAGAACGTAGACAAAAATAATCATGAGCTACAATGTGGGTTTTATATAGAACGTAGACGAAAATAATCATGTGCTACAATGTGGGTTTTATATAGAACGTAGACAAAAATAATCATGTGCTACAATGTGGGTTTTATATAGAACGTAGACAAAATAATCATGAGCTACAATGTGGGTTTTATATAGAACGAAGACAAAATAATCATGTGCTACAATGTGGGTTTTATCTAGATAGTAGACAGAAATAAACATAAGCTACAATAAGGCTTTTACATAGAATATAGAAGCAAATAAACTATGTCTCGTTTTCAATACACACATACACACCCAGTTTAAAAAAAATATGTATTTATTATCTTCTCTGTAAATCAGCAATTATCATAATACTTTACGAACATCCATCATATGTTATTTAAAGCGCAACTCCCATGATTAAATATATCGTATGGACTATGACTTTGACCTGGTTAACATGCCAGGACTGTGAATCGAGAGTTTCTGGTTTGCATCCCGTTGCTGTAAAAACACGCTTCGTACTTTGGGACTGTGTGTACACTATAAGAGTGATGGTCCAGTCAAACTATTCAGTAAAAAAAAAAGTAGCCCTTTGTGAAGCTGTGCGCGAAAATCCTAAAACAAACAAACAGTGTTTGACGTCAGTGTTAATTACAACCGAGAAGCGGCGGTTAGCTGGTACAAACATCTGCCTGATAAGCAGACACGCGTGTAGGAATCCCGCCCAGTGTTAATCCGTTTTTATCTCCTCAAAAAAATTAAAAATAATAAAATAAATAAATCGAATATTCCAGAACATTGTCGTGCCGCACTTAAAGTTTCTATATTCAATTAATTATAAACGCGGTATAAATAGCGTCGCGGAGTAACACAGAACGTGAAGCTAACCAATATTTTTAATATTTACATTCGCAAAACGTTCTTTATAGTGTATTTAAAAATACCGTTTTATGTACAATTTCT